TGCTTTTTGCGTAGCGGGAAAAACGAGGCAGCGGCTGGAACGCAAAACATGCTGGTTGTTCATTTAGGCACGATGATTGTAATCTCCTCGTGCAAATACCCTCATCACACTGTGATTTTGCTCGCAATTTGCGGCATTAACGATTTATACCAGCGCTGCGATATTTTTCGCCGTCGATGATGGTCCGTGCTTTGTGCCTTCCAACGGAGATCACTTTGAAATGTTTGCACAGTCAAAAATTGCAATCTTTTCACGCTCAAATTCCCACACCTCATTAATTTTTATAGGATGTAAATTTTAAACCAATTATTTTTATGAACCATTAAAAATAATTTGATTCAAATTCTCCTTTTCGTATCAGCAATTTTCCGTCTGATAAAAACTATAACTTGCCTTTTCAAAATCATTAGTTCATAGAAACTCTATTGATTCCTAGAGAAAGCATTTTTTTTTTTGCCTAAAGCTTATATGGATAGATCGTAGGGCTCAATTCAAGAGCCATTCATCAGGGACCTGATACGATTTAACATGCGCGAGAGATTTTTATTGAGCGGCAGCATGCATGCGTGGCGTTCATAAAATACATCATAAACATCACTCGACTTTGGAATGCCCGCGTCACTCGAAATGTAGACCGACCATGTCAAATTACCAAAGCGTTTTATTATGAATTATAACAGTAAAGGAGCAATGGATTGTGTTAACAGGATGCTGCTCTTGTCCAACTCGGAATAACCAATTCAAAAGTTTCTGCACGGCTGCGGTTATTTTCCTGCTCAAGGTCAAAAGCCGGGGAGTTATTTGGCCGAGCAATTATAATTATTTTAGATTGCCGGAACAATTATTGGCTGGCCAAACAGGACCGTGGGTCTAACAAATTACTTTTATTTGCTCTATTAAAATGATGTTTTGAAACTTCATATTGGAGGGGTTTGAATAAGTTTTAAGTCTGTATAATGATGGTGATATCAGATTTATACTAAATTAAGTATTTGCTAATTATTATATAATATAATTTTTTATTTCGGAATATCAAATAATGTGATTGAAAAAGTTTGCACCCAAGAAGACGATCATGGAACTGAAGAATTAAGCTTAATCCTTGTTAATTTTTTATTTTATTCTCAAATGAAGCAACAAAATATATGGAATTAAAAACTTCTTTCCATGAGGATAAAGCCCATTTTCTTCTCTTCCAAGAAACAGATATTTTTATTTTTCATTTTTTTTTTTTTAATTCAGGTAAAAATATTAAAATTTTAAATTTGCTTAGTGTTAAATGCAAAACTTTTCCTGCATGGAATTTAAAAAGTAGAATTCCTGTGAGAGCAGAAACAAATGCAACACAATTAATTCCTTTCAAGAGCCACTCGCATTTTCACCGCCCGTCACTTCAGTGCGCAAATTAAATCCGTCCGTCCGTCGCCGACACAAGCTCGCAAATTGAAACGAGAGTGTTACTCATTTGCACACGCATGATTTGTGTAATAAAATTTCACGCCTCGGACGCGCTGAAAATTCGTTAAAATTCTGCAGAGACCCTCATTATCCCGTTGCTGGATTTAATTAAACGGCCAACTTTGCGCTGCGGTCGGCGGGAATTAGATGAATGAATGAATGACGAGCCTTTGACCCTTCCCAGGATGGACCACAGATGGTCTCTCTCGTCGTTATCGCGCGCGTCCGAAACGAAATTAGAAACACACGCTGGCTCGCTCAAATTGGAATGAATCACCATCGGAATTAATTTTTCTCCTACATGCATCCTGACACGCTCCGAACAAAGAATGAGGAGGGTGAATTTTTATGCCGTCACTCCTTGTTCATGCAGCTGGCGGAAGAAAGTTATGATTCAATGAGGGAGCTGCATTTCAAAACTAATTTTTATTTTTGAAATGGAAATTGAGGTTAAAAGTTATGTCCATAAAAAATTCGAAAATAAATTTTTAAATTAATGTTCAGTGTTACTGTAAAGTGAGAAAATAATCATGAAATAAAGTGTTTTTTTTTAACGCCAGTTGGTGTTGCAGTGAAATTTCGGCGTAAAAATGAAACAACCAACGTATAATCCTAAAAATTAGCCGCGTCGAGATGACGGCCGTAAAATTGGACCATAACCACTGATCCGATATAGATTTGATGCTGGTCGTTCAGCTTTTTTTTTATTATTCTCTTCGCCCCTTCTATATTATTATCACTACGGGGACGAATGTCTTTCATTCCCTCATCTTTACCATCCAATTACTGCACCACTTTTTACAGCGCCATCAACCAGAAAGAAAATTGTTCTTGTTTTCCTTCAGTTTTCTTTATCTCCATAGCCAGACTGATTCAAAGTCTGTCCAATTTTGCTGTACGTCTTTGAGCTCAAATGTTTTTGCTTTTGATTTTTTACGTTTTTTTTTGTCTGCTTTGGCCCCCAAGTGCTCTTTAGTATGTTAAACTTAGTTTGTTTAACTGAGTATTACGTATCAGGCAATTGTAGCTAATTTAATTTTATTTTAAAATAATTATATTATAACCTCAAACAACTAAAAAAATTAACTTTATATGAAGCATTTTTTAAAATAATTTTTTAAAAAATATTTTTTTATTTTTATGATATAATTATAATAAAATTTTACAAATCATTTTCCAAATGTTTAAATTATTTTGGGTTTTCTTTTTGTTGAAGTAATTAAAAAAAAAATATTACTTGATGCCATATGAGAATTGATTAACATATAGATATATAATTCACAGTCTCAATGTTATAGCGCAACTTTCACATTTTATGGCATTCTCGATAATTAACATGCATTACTTAATCAATAAATAAAAATATAACAACAAGCAAGTCATTATAAGACCGAAAATTCATTTTCTGGTATTTATGTCATCTTCAAAACAATTCGAACTCTGTCCAATTTTTGCCAGGTGTCTTAGAGTTGCAGTGTTTTGACTTTTTACGCGATAGGTTTTTCTTCCTGCTTTTTTACGGCCCCAAGTGCTGGTGTTTTGTGTTTGTAATATCGCGCCGGGTGGGTATCGTATTGCCGGCTGCTGTGGCCAACTCACTTTTTTATTCCAACTCCCCGGTGCTGCTTGGAGAGAGTGTATTTTTACACTGCACGTACCATTTTTACTTGCTCTTGTTTCGGCTCAAATTTCCCCCGTGTTGTAGTTGCTACGTGCCCTCTTGTTCTTTCTCCTCTCTGCAGCCAGATTATTTGCATGCATTCTTTCTCTCATCAAAACACACACACACGCAAACTTCTTTTGTCGAAGCAGACCGGCCTTTGAATGTTGCATGCGTGGGCGGGAAGAAGTGCTTTGCATTATCAACCCTTTGAGCTCAAAGGACTCGTTTCGCTGCTGGTCAGAAAGAGCTTCGTCCCCGCGAAATTCAATTTAGTTGCCGCTGACAAGCGTCCAGCACGGCATTCAACTTTTCATTCTATGAGGTTTTGCTTAATTAAATTTAACAATTCATCATGTGGTTCTGAATAATTAGCATACACCAGGCATTCGCTATCTTTTTTAACGATTCTGATTTTTTGTTACAAATGTTAACTTAAACTTTGTATGGGGAGTTGATTTATAAATTATATTTTATTTGAAAATTCCGAAGTTGATAAAAAAAAACTCTGCCGACTGCTAATAAATATTGAAAGAATTATCAAAATATTAATTTTAATAATATGTTTGAATTTTTCCTTGAATAATGAAAAAAAAAATAAAGCAATAAACTTTAGCCTATTATTAACTTTTTGGTAGCTGCGGGTTTGTGATACTTTTTATGTTGCTTTTCAATTCCTGCGTAGCATGTACAAGCGTTTGATAAATCATTTTCATTTCTTCTCTAAATATTTGAGCTCCAGTAATGCAAAGCATTGTTTACTGATTTATGAACTATTTAATATTAATTTTTTTTAGTTCCGTTAAATAAATTTTTCCAAATATATCAATATATTATGAAAGTGTAAACATGATTATTTGGTATTTAAGAGGGATAAATTTTTAATTATGAAGTAAAAAAAAGATATTTAATGTAATTTAAAAATTAATTTATGGAAAACTAAAATTTTGGTATGCATTCCATTATTAAAAGCTGTTTTTTTTTTATAATACCATGTAAAAACCTCTTAACAATTTAATTTATGCTTTACATTATTTGAACTCCGTTAATTATGACACATAATTATCTATCCATTTGCATTATTCAGTCGATCGTGTCCATTAGCCCTTCAAAAGTGGAAACCCTGCCCTCGCCACATGATTAATTCTGCACTTGACAAGTTTGAAAATCAAGGTTTACTCGCGCACAATCAGATCTGACGTTCCAATTAGCCATTCGTTCGACCGCAAATTCGCCAGCTGCAAATGAAATCAAGTGAAAATGGCAATTTACAGGCGCGGGCACTTCACCATTGACCACAAAGTCGAATATCATCCGCTCGGCCGCGCAAATTGCTGCACACCAGTTGTAACCGGAGAACGATCGGAACTTTTGCGCGCCACGGTGACGAGGGTTTAATTGAGAGAAGTCGTCGCGCTTGATTAAAACTGGGAGGGCGTCCAGACAGAGTGCAATCTCAAATATTGTGTTTGCCTCGCAGTCTCTCGCACTCGTCCTCTTTGTCTGCAGCGGCGCACCAGTTCCAATTACAGAACAAATCTGCTTGTTTGTTCCAACGCAGTGCGAGGAACAAAAGCCGACCGCCGTTATGTACTTTTAATTTATTCGGCGGCGGCTTTTTGTTTGTCTTTGTCCTGCTGCGTGCACCCCAATTTTTGAGCTGGCCCTGCAAAAACATAATCACAGTGGTTCTCATTTGTAACATGTATCCCTTTATTTCAAGAGCTAAAAAAATTATTACAGCACATTTTATTTTAAAGAAATACACATAGAAAAAATCCGATGTGAAATTTCCAAATTTCAATTTAATAAATTTACCAAGTCATTCATTTTTATTTAAAACTTTCTCCTAATTTTGTGTTTTACTTTTAAATGCTTACAGAGCTTCAACATGCGTCCAAGAAGTGAATCTGCTCTGACTCTTCTCGAACAGAGAGATGATTCTCCAGAGAGGCACCACTCGGTGGGTCACCAGCCGAGGCCTTCATCCTACCTGGTGGTGAGTACAGCACATTTTACATATCATCTGGTTACAACACGAAATGCACTTTAGCAATAATGGATTGCAAACAACTCCATTGTTCTTTTATAATCGCAGAAGAGCAGTTTATGATTGATGAAGACCATTAGGCGCTGCCAACAAATTCAATTGCATAATGCATCACTCGTCTCGCTGCATACGTTATTAAAAAGGGAGGTGTGGTGCATCATTTAGCAGAACTAGTTCCAAGAACCAGATAGATGCGCAAGGACACAGAGCGCAAATGATAAATTAGCTGTCGCTGGAACTTGAACCAACATTAGTATAATATACTGGGTTATTGAGTTAGAAATCAGCAATAGTATTTTAGAGACAAGAAGGGAAAGTTCAGTTTGGAAAATAGGGCAATATAATTTTACTTGATATTTTTATTCATAGAGCTAAATTTGTAATTTAATTTAATAACTCTAATAAGTCTGGTTGTTATTATTATTGGTATTGTTATGTTGAGAACTTTTGTTAACTTAACGAAATTTAATTGTCGTCTTTGTGTTAGGGACATTTGGGCTATTATTTTATTATCTCCGAGGTCGTCAGAAGTCAGTCATCCTATATATGAGTGAGACTTCTGAACGACCTCTATGATTTATGAGAGATATACAATTTATATTCTTAACAAATAAATACGAACCCACCTACAACATTCATGATATGTGACTGCAGAGATAAAACTATGTTATGAAGAATCTGATGATTTGTAAAAACATTAAATTAAAAAAACAAACTAATAATATAAAATCAGAAATAAAGTTTTATTAATAATCATTAATAAAGAAATGAAAATATAAAATATAATATATTTACAGAGTTGGTCATAAATTGATGATTTTTTTTTAATCCGCTACCAAGTAATTATTGTGACTTTGCATTGCATGCGTCAGGTTACACCTCTTAATTATTGTTATGAATGATTCAATTTTGAATACATACAAATAGGACTACGTCGACCTTGTTATTTTATAGGTCATCAAGATTAATCCTTGATGACCTAAAAAATCACCAGGTCTGTCGCAGACCTGATTTGCGAAATAAGCGTCAATCAGCACATTCAAGTTACAAGTAGTTAACGTTTTTGCCATTTTTTGAAGGACAGGACTATTGACCTTATAATTTTTTAGGTCATGGAGGACTAAAATCTCTCACAATTTTGAGAGATTTTAATCCTTGATGACCGAAAAAGTCACCAGGTCTGTCGCAGACCTGATTTGCAAAATAAGCGTCAATCATCACATTCAAGTTACAAGTAGTTGATGTTTTTGCCATTTTTTGAAAGACAGGACTATTGACCTTGTAATTTTTTAGGTCACGGAGCACTAAAATCTCTCACAATTTTGAGAGATTTTAATCCTTGATGACCTAAAAAGTCACCAGGTCTGTCGCAGACCTGATTTGCGAAATAAGCGTCAATCATCACATTCAAGATACAAGTAGTTGATGTTTTTGCCATTTTTTGAAGGACAGGACTATTGACCTTGTAATTTTTTAGGTCACGGAGGACTAAAATCTCTCACAATTTTGAGAGATTTTAATCCTTGATGACCTAAAAAGTCACCAGGTCTGTCGCAGACCTGAATTGCGAAATAAGCGTCAATCATCACATTCAAATTACAAGTAGTTGATGTTTTTGCCATTTTTTGAAGGACAGGACTATTGACCTTGTAATTTTTTAGGTCATGGAGGACTAAAATCTCTCACAATTTTGAGAGAATTTAATCCTTGATGACCTAAAAAGTCACCAGGTCTGTCGCAGACCTGAATTGCGAAATAAGCGTCAATCAGCACATTCAAATTACAAGTAGTTGATGTTTTTGCCATTTTTTGAAGGACAGGACTATTGACCTTGTAATTTTTTAGGTCATGGAGGACTAAAATCTCTCACAATTTTGAGAGATTTTAATCCTTGATGACCTAAAAAGTCACCAGGTCTGTCGCAGACCTGAATTGCGAAATAAGCGTCAATCATCACATTCAAATTACAAGTAGTTGATGTTTTTGCCATTTTTTGAAGGACAGGACTATTGACCTTGTAATTTTTTAGGTCATGGAGGACTAAAATCTCTCACAATTTTGAGAGATTTTAATCCTTGATGACCTAAAAAGTCACCAGGTCTGTCGCAGACCTGAATTGCGAAATAAGCGTCAATCAGCACATTCAAGTTACAAGTAGTTGATGTTTTTGCCATTTTTTGAAAGACAGGACTATTGACCTTGTAATTTTTTAGGTCACGGAGGACTAAAATCTCTCACAATTTTGAGAGATTTTAATCCTTGATGACCTAAAAAGTCACCAGGTCTGTCGCAGACCTGAATTGCGAAATAAGCGTCAATCAGCACATTCAAGTTACAAGTAGTTGATGTTTTTGCCATTTTTTGAAAGACAGGACTATTGACCTTGTAATTTTTTAGGTCATGGAGGACTAAAATCTCTCACAATTTTGAGAGATTTTAATCCTTGATGACCTAAAAAGTCACCAGGTCTGTCGCAGACCTGATTTGCGAAATAAGCGTCAATCATCACATTCAAGTTACAAGTAGTTGATGTTTTTGCCATTTTTTGAAGGACAGGACTATTGACCTTGTAATTTTTTAGGTCACGGAGGACTAAAATCTCTCACAATTTTGAGAGATTTTAATCCTTGATGACCTAAAAAGTCACCAGGTCTGTCGCAGACCTAATTTGCGAAATAAGCGTCAATCATCACATTCAAGATACAAGTAGTTGATGTTTTTGCCATTTTTTGAAGGACAGGACTATTGACCTTGTAATTTTTTAGGTCACGGAGGACTAAAATCTCTCACAATTTTGAGAGATTTTAATCCTTGATGACCTAAAAAGTCACCAGGTCTGTCGCAGACCTGATTTGCGAAATAAGCGTCAATCATCACATTCAAGTTACAAGTAGTTGATGTTTTTGCTTTTTTTTGTAGGACAGGACTATTGACCTTGTAATTTTTTAGGTCATGGAGGACTAAAATCTCTCACAATTTTGAGAGATTTTAATCCTTGATGACCTAAAAAGTCACCAGGTCTGTCGCAGACTTGAATTGCGAAATAAGCGTCAATCAGCACATTCAAATTACAAGTAGTTGATGTTTTTGCCATTTTTTGAAAGGCAGGACTATTGACCTTGTAATTTTTTAGGTCACGGAGGACTAAAATCTCTCACAATTTTGAGAGATTTTAATCCTTGATGACCTAAAAAGTCACCAGGTCTGTCGCAGACCTGATTTGCGAAATAAGCGTCAATCAGCACATTCAAATTACAAGTAGTTGATGTTTTTGCCATTTTTTGAAGGACAGGACTATTGACCTTGTAATTTTTTAGGTCATGGAGGACTAAAATCTCTCACAATTTTGAGAGATTTTAATCCTTGATGACCTAAAAAGTCACCAGGTCTGTCGCAGACCTGAATTGCGAAATAAGCGTCAATCAGCACATTCAAATTACAAGTAGTTGATGTTTTTGCCATTTTTTGAAAGGCAGGACTATTGACCTTGTAATTTTTTAGGTCACGGAGGACTAAAATCTCTCACAATTTTGAGAGATTTTAATCCTTGATGACCTAAAAAGTCACCAGGTCTGTCGCACACCTGAATTGCGAAATAAGCGTCAATCATCACATTCAAGTTACAAGTAGTTGATGTTTTTGCCATTTTTTGAAGGACAGGACTATTGACCTTGTAATTTTTTAGGTCACGGAGGACTAAAATCTCTCACAATTTTGAGAGATTTTAATCCTTGATGACCTAAAAAGTCACCAGGTCTGTCGCAGACCTGATTTGCGAAATAAGCGTCAATCATCACATTCAAGTTACAAGTAGTTGATGTTTTTGCCATTTTTTGAAGGACAGGACTATTGACCTTGTAATTTTTTAGGTCATGGAGGACTAAAATCTCTCACAATTTTGAGAGATTTTAATCCTTGATGACCTAAAATGTCACCAGGTCTGTCGCAGACCTGATTTGCGAAATAAGCGTCAATCATCACATTCAAGTTACAAGTAGTTGATGTTTTTGCCATTTTTTGAAGGACAGGACTATTGACCTTGTAATTTTTTAGGTCACGGAGGACTAAAATCTCTCACAATTTTGAGAGATTTTAATCCTTGATGACCTAAAAAGTCACCAGGTCTGTCGCAGACCTGATTTGCGAAATAAGCGTCAATCATCACATTCAAGTTACAAGTAGTTGATGTTTTTGCCATTTTTTGAAGGACAGGACTATTGACCTTGTAATTTTTTAGGTCATGGAGGACTAAAATCTCTCACAATTTTGAGAGATTTTAATCCTTGATGACCTAAAAAGTCACCAGGTCTGTCGCAGACTTGAATTGCGAATTAAGCGTCAATCAGCACATTCAAATTACAAGTAGTTGATGTTTTTGCCATTTTTTGAAAGGCAGGACTATTGACCTTGTAATTTTTTAGGTCACGGAGGACTAAAATCTCTCACAATTTTGAGAGATTTTAATCCTTGATGACCTAAAAAGTCACCAGGTCTGTCGCAGACCTGAATTGCGAAATAAGCGTCAATCATCACATTCAAATTACAAGTAGTTGATGTTTTTGCCATTTTTTGAAGGACAGGACTATTGACCTTGTAATTTTTTAGGTCATGGAGGACTAAAATCTCTCACAATTTTGAGAGATTTTAATCCTTGATGACCTAAAAAGTCACCAGGTCTGTCGCAGACCTGAATTGCGAAATAAGCGTCAATCAGCACATTCAAGTTACAAGTAGTTGATGTTTTTGCCATTTTTTGAAAGGCAGGACTATTGACCTTGAAATTTTTTAGGTCACGGAGGACTAAAATCTCTCACAATTTTGAGAGATTTTAATCCTTGATGACCTAAAAAGTCACCAGGTCTGTCGCAGACCTGAATTGCGAAATAAGCGTCAATCAGCACATTCAAGTTACAAGTAGTTGATGTTTTTGCCATTTTTTGAAAGACAGG